TGGGTGACACTACAGGGAACCCCAATGATGAGGGATTCCCAATGATGTATTTGTGCAATGCATGCTGGGTACTGTACACTGTTAGAAATAAAGGTTCTGTTCAGGTACATTTTTCATTCATCAAGGCACAAAATGTTCCCTCAAAGGTTCAACAGTGGTTTTAAGGTCCGATTATGAACCTTAAATAAGTTTTTTCCAGGTGAAAAGTTCGTATTTCCCCTCCATTTATTTATTAGTATTCATATTCTTGTTTTAATTATGATTATTATTATTTCAGTCATTTTACTTCATTTTAGTTTCCTTTTTTTGATCTTATCCGCTTTTTATTTCTCTTCTTTTGATTTTATTAATTTTTACATTTAAGTTACACTTTAATTATTGTTTTATATTTTCTACTTTTTTTAAATACTTGCCTAATTTGAGTCATTTTTTATCTATTTATTTTCTATTGTTTGATGTTTTTTTTATACACATTATCAATCCCTTTTTCCTGTATCAACTCGGCAACATTGTAAATGAGGATCACCCTCAATGTTCTCTGAGGTTAAATAAAGGTTGATTGTATTTGTACCTTTTCATAACCGAATGTTTTAAACAGAACAGTAAAATAAAAGCCTGGAGACGAGACGGGGTGTGTGGAGACAGTACAGCTTAGAACATATCATTTCAGTGGATTATGGTTCAGTTATGTTCCCTGACTAAAGGTACTGAGATGGACCACTGAGGGTTCCAACCCAGTGACAAGAAGGGAACTGACCCAGTGACCGTTTAGTACCTTTATTTCTGAGAGTGTTGCGACTTGAATACGATATAAAACGGTGAATCCTGTTAAACTGATGAGACTGAAGAATATAATGTTAAGCTACAGAATACAGCACAACACCACAAACAACATATTAAACTCTATTTTTAGACCGGAACGCCCCTTAAATCTTAAACACAAGCCAAACTGTCCCTCTTTACAGCCCGTTAAAACATAACAGTCTCTGAACTGTATATTTTCGCCCTGACTGACCCACCTGGAGGGGTTCCAGGAGATGCAGGAACAGGAGAGTTTGCAGGAGATCTCGTGCTGAAGACTCCACTGGCTGAGGTTCATCACGTCCGGGGCTTCGTAAATGCGCACCACTCCGTCCGCAGAGCAGGTGGCCAGAACCAGGCCCATGTGCTTCGGGGCGAACTTCACATCCGTCACCGATGTCCTGCTGTCCACCAGAGTGGTTCTCTTTATCTGTACAGGTAGATTTAAAGCGATGGGTCACCACTAATGTAGCCAACAAGTACTGGAAGCTTATACCCACCAATCAGCACAGAGCTAATGCCTGATTTTTGACACTGCATGACCTACTGTTATTGATAAAAGTGGACAAAAGTACGGATAAAATTCACTACTACTGTTTTTAGTTGTCACATACCTTTCCTCAGTTTTAAAGGCGCAGTTTGTGAAAATCCTTTCACTTCTAATATGACTTCACACTTTTAATGTTTTCACAAACCTTTAAGTTGCCAGAGTTTTGATATTTTTTTTTCATTTGGTTCACATTCCAACAGCTAAAGTGCACCAAGTTACATACATGGGTGTTTGTTTATTTGTTTACTGGTCGGAAATTTTGCAGGGATGCAATTTATCACACATTTACCACCATTTGGGCCAAAATAATATGTAAACCTATGTAATATTTTAAATTGAAAGCAGTAGCATTACTGAGTTACGAGGGAAAAATGCACACAAAAGTATGACGGGTGTGGGCTGCTGCGAGTCTAAGCCTAAAATCATTTAAAAGTCCACTTAATTGATTTGGAGGGAGGTTTTCTCGGACCACGTCGTACGTCTTTACGTATTAACGTCACACACACTCAAAAAGAAGGTCCGGCTCGATGTTTAGGTCTCAAGTGATTTCAAAGTCAGCATCACACTGATGAAGATGTGATGACAGTAGTAGATAATTCACTCACATCCTCAGAGACGCTCCTTCACCAAGTTTACACTGAGTTTTAATGCACTTGCGAAAGTCACATTCATCTGCTTGTGGGTGTTTGAAGCACAACCGACATCACGAATTCCCAAATCTTACATAGTGTTGCTTTAAAGTCTATATGCATCACAGTCATAGCAATAATAGTAAACCTTACTTCAGTTCTGTTTCCTCATGGTTTGTCAATTTGTATGTAATCAATCATGTCGCTGATGCAGTATATTATGCAATCTACATGCCAAAATTAAATGCACTGCTTTGCTATTATTTTACTGCTAATCTGCCATCATTAGCAGCAGCTCGTGCTGCAGGAACGATATGAGCGTCTAAAAGAATCGGACGTTAAAACAGGCGGTGTGGCGCTGATGCGCTGCTAGATGAAGAGAAAAGCGCTCTGATGTTGAATCCCCTCACACCTGACAAAACAGACCAAACTAAAGAAAAAGTGCAACAGGTCCACACCAAAGAGGGCAGGTGTGAAATCGTCCGACAACGACTGCCCCCCTGCCAACAAACCGCCGTACATCTGGAAAGCGTGACTGGCAGGTAATACAGTATTTGAAAGAGAACTGTTATCTTCCAGTCGGTCTCACCCAGTGACTGAGCCCACGCTGTTTGTCGTTGGATTCGCCGACTATTTCCTCCCACACTGCGGCGGTGCGGTCGAAAGAGCAGGACGCCAGGACCTGTCCGAACTCAGGGTGAGCCCACGTCACCCTCCACACCGAGCCACTGTGAGTCTGAACACATCAGAGCAACAAACACAGAGAACAATGTTAACGTTAAAGCGGAAGACATATAATAACTCTATATTGTTTATAAGTGGTGCAGCACCGATACGATACTGTATCAGCATCAGCACCAAATTTAGAAAATGCGCATTAGAAAAAAAAACAGAACTGAAAAGACAGAAATTCAAAAAAATGCCTCAATGAAAAAGGGAAAAAAGTGTTTGTGCTTAGATAAGGTGGAAAAACTGGTTTATCAATAAAGGTAAAATGCAAAAAAATAATGATGTAAAGAGAATTTATGGATAAGTGTTGATGCAGCAGGAGTTTAAAATTTTAATTTAGCATGATAAAATATTTATAAAGCGTAACAGTAAAAAATATTAGGATTTATGGGCTAGTCAGTTTAGACAGAGTTAGTATCAGTATCGGTACTCGGTATCAGGCAGGATTATCAATGCGTCGTAATTTATACGTTATTAGAAAGTTATTAAAAATGAGAAAACAGTACCTTCCAGCTGGCTGTGCAGTGCCACTCTCCGTTGTCACTTTTGTCCCAAACCTTTTAAAAAATCAAACACAAGGCAAGTTTATACGCTTTCAGTGAAAACAGTAGTTTATTGTTTTGTTTTTTAACTGTCTCGTGGATCTAAGCAGATAAAGAAATAAACAACCCCAACTTAGAAATACAGTGAAGGTGATGCTCATTTACCACAGCCACGCACAAATATAACAAAAAACAAAACAGGAATGAAAATTACGAACGGAATTTAATCAGCTACGAAAGAAAAACAAAAAAGGCATACAGGCACCACCATTTAAGGTGGAACGGGAAATTAGCAAAAGATTATTATTATTATTACGAAGCCAACATCAGGAGCAGCAGCGCCAACAAACATAAGCCTCGTGTTCAGGTTTGCGTTCGAATTTTCCCGTTCCACCTTAAATGGCGAAGCAGATCCATTCTGGCGCCTGAGCCCGATTGTAGGCAGCCACAATGTAACAGCCGCAGCATTTAAGGTGGAACGGGAAAATTCGAACAAGACGCTAAAGAATAGAAAGCCAACTTTAGGAAATGAACTAAGAAAAGAACCAATATAAAAATAGGAGCCCTGCCGGCTGAGTGGAGGCGGTTAGATATTAAAATCTTGAAGATATTTTTGTAAACACTCCCGGGTTTCGGACCTTGACGCTCTGGTCGCTGGAGCAGGTCGCCATCCGCCGCCCGTGGAAATCATAGGAAACGTCGTGAATCAGATCTTTATGATCCGCAGCGATACTCCGGGCCACAAACATCCTCCCCTGCGGAGCGGCACGGTGCGCAGCACCACCTCGGCGCGCTCAGAAACGGAGCTAAACTCAGACTAAATCCGAAAAACCGGGAATATTTGCGTTCACTTTCTGGCGGGTGGCTCACCAATGCGCCATTTCAGCGCCTTCTTCTGCTCTCAGCAAGCGCCGCTAGCGCCTCCCGCAGGACTGGAGCAAAAAACGTCACAACAAAAGTCCCCCTCGGAATTATTTCTTATATTTTTTCATTATTATTTTCACACTGCATTTATATTATTCTTTATATGTACGTTGGGTTTTACACTTTAAAACGACCAATTTCTATCACACTTTGCTTTTATATGTACACTTTATATTTTTTAATTTTAATAGTTTTGTTCACGCTATCACTTTGTATTTACATTAAACATACATTCATTTACGTTCCCTTTTACTGGATATTTTTTCTTCCGCAGGTCAGAAATCTTAAAGTGCCGCCTGCTGGGCGGGAGGACCAATAACAGAAAACTGAAAACAAAAATTGATGATAAAGCGGTATATAGAAGTGTTTATTTTATTTCATTTTGTTTTATTTTATTTACTCTTAATCTGTTTAAAACACAGCCACTTTTTTCCAGTATTTTTTTTCATTTACAAAACATTAAACAACTGTATTTAAGATTTGTTTGATTGTTTTTTTCTTTGCTTTCACTTTTAGAAAAATATACTCCAGTTTGTCTTCACCATAGTTTCATTTTTAATGTATTGATTTATAGTTTCAATTTTACTCGTCTGTTGGGCTTCAGGTCCTCATACTTATTTTCAAAACCAATAACTAAAATATTTTTTTAACTTTTTTTTCAGTTTATAACGACGACTTTTTTCAGTTTATAACAACATCTTCAGTGTTAGAGGTCAAGTCAGTGTTTATGTTTAATTTGAGCTTTACTTTTATTTTCTGTTTTAACAGCTGATCCCTGATCTGCGCAAACCGGGCGCCGCTGCGCTGCGCAGTTCAGTGTTAGATGTCAAACGCGAGCGAACCGGACGGAGTGTGTGTGAGAGAGTGAGAGAGAGGGAGAGGGAGCGAGAGAGGGAGAGAGTGTGTGTGTGTGTGTTTATTTTATGTTTTTATTTTTTTATGTTCATGGATTAGCGGAGGAGACAGAAATGACCGCCCCTTTGTTGTAGTGTTATGTATTTTCGTTTAAACCGGACGAGACAGTGACAGAAGGCAGAAATGGACCACGAGTTTGAGGACATTGACTCAGAAGGCCGGTGGCAGAACCTCTACCTGGTAAACCAGCCAAACTAACGTCTCTCTGTTTACTAACCAGACAAACTAACTCATCAACTAGTCGTCTCACTGATTAACTAACCGTGTTACACTTAGTGTCGACACTTTTTAAAACATTCAGCTTAGACGTTCAGCAGTCCGAGATTTATTCCCCAGCTTCTTGTTCGAATTTTCCCGTTCCACCTTAAATGGCGCAGCAGTTGCTTCTAGCGCCTGAGCCGCCAGAACGCAACTGCTGCACCATTTAAGGTGGAACGGGAAAATTCGAAGCTGAATTCAGTTTCGTCTTAGATTTGCTCCTCTTTTTTTCGCATACTCCAATACAGTTCCATCGCATTGTAATAAACAGTGATTAAGCTGAAGAGTCGAGCTTTAGTTAGTGAAAAATCCGCATAATTAATAAAAACAGCTTGTTACCTATTTTAAAAAGGCGTTTTAACCTATGGAAATGAAGTAAATGTGCTGGTAAGCTATCTAAAGACAGTCAGGCATCACCCCGTTGATTTATTTACACCTTAGTGAAATATTTAGCACCCACAAACCTAAACACGAGGCTTATGTTTGCTGGTACTTCTGCTCCTGAAACTGGTTTCCTAACTCGCCAGCTTCTTGTTTGAATTTTTCCCGTTCCACCTTAAACAGCGCGGCGGTTATATTCTGGCGCCTGAGGCCGAATGTAGGCAGACGGCGCAGCTGCGGCACAATTTAAGGTGGAACGGGGAAATTCGAGCAAGAAGCTGATTTCAGCTTCGTGCTATTTTGTAGGATTACTGGAGCATATAAGTGCTCATGTATATGCATTACATGACTTTAATACCCAACCAAGATCTAAATTTGAGGCATTTTGTCCGCAAATCGATCAGAAAAACGAAGTTGGAGAAGTTAACGGTAACCCAAGCTAGACGAGGTAGCCTGTTGCTAACAGAAGCCGTTACGCGAATTTAATGTTTTTTAAACATTTTAGCCAAAAAATGAAATTCAGTCCTAAACTGTGGGCAACTGGAGGTGCTAGTTGGCGTTAGGAGCTGTTCAGAATTTATATTAAAACCTAAAATCTGTGTTATTGTGTTACCAGGCTAGGCTAAGCTAAGGCTAAGTGTATAGAGTGAAGTTTGTAGTGCTGTAAACTGACAGTCTGTCCGCACTGAATTGGATGTGTTGGACACGCTGAGTCTAATTTGGGCATATTTGGCATATTTTATGTAGTCAAGCTCCAAAAAAGGAGCAGCGTAGTTGCCTGTGAGTGACATTATCTAATGTAGCTGGTGTTTTCCAGCTCCAGCGCTGCGGTACAGGTTTGGACTGATTCATCTCCAGAAAGACTTCATCATTAGTCAGTGATGGGACTCAGATGTAGGACAACACCAAACTGTGCAGTTGAGGTGAAATACAGGAATAATTTGTAGGCCTGGAGCCAGAAACACTGATCCAGTGATCGATCATCCTCCCCAAAGCCCAGACATTAGTGTTAGAGGTGGACAGTATGACCATAGACCTTGTTTCTATGCTCATTGTCCATCTTATCAGCTCTACTGACCATATAGGAGCACTTTGTAGTTCTACAGTTACAGACTGTAGTCCATCTGTTTCTCTGATACTTCGTCAACCTGTTCTTCAATAATCAGGGCCCTCACAGAGCAGGTGCTGTTTGGGCGGTGGATCATTCTCAGCACTGCAGTAACACTGACGTGGTGGTGGTGTGTTAGTGTGTGTTGTGCTGGTGCGAGTGGATCAGACACAGCAGTGTTGCTGGAGTTTTTTAACAGTGTCCACTCACTGTCCACTCTATTAGACACCCCTACCTTGTCAGTCCACCTTGTAGATGTAAAGTCAGAGACGATAGCTCATCTGCAGCTGCACAGTTTGTGTTGGTCATCCTCTAGTCCTTCATCAGTGGTCACAGGACGCTGCCCACAGGACGCTGTTGGCTGGATATTCTTGGTTCTCAGTCCAACAGAGACACTGAGGTGTTTAAAAACTCCAGCAGCACTGCTGTGTCTGATCCACTCACACCACCACCACGTCAGTGTTACTGCAGTGCTGAGAATGACCCACCACCCAAATAGGACCTGCTCTGTGAGGGTCCATGGGGGTCCTGACCATTGAAGAACAGGATAACAAGCATGCAGAGAAACAGATGGACTACAGTCTGTAACTGTAGAACTACAAAGTGAAACTATATGGTCAGTGGAGCCGAAAAAATGGACAATGTGTGTTGAAACAGGGGTTGTACTTAATGAAGTGCTCAGAGAATTTCCTGTTTGCGTCGTTAGCTAATGATCCAAGTCTTTTCGGAGATAATTCGGGCCCACAGAAGTCACTGATCAAGCTGGTCAAGCCGTAAATAATCCTCCCCGAGGCCCAGACATTGGTATTATATTGGTGACGGCTAAATATGAGGTTGGTTGTACACGTATCTGGTCAAACAGACCTTCTGAATATCATACAGTTCGCTGGAATTTCCAGTAAGTTGCTGCTGCTATTTTAGGAACCTGCTCAGGCTGCTCAGGGTGGTCATTAGTTTATGGTTAGAAGATGAGCTCTAAGATTTGTTTTACAAAGCAGAGAGTTTGTTTGTTTATTCATTTGTTTATTTAGCTAAATTCTTCCCCACTGATCTGAAGTGATTACTAAGGCACGCTCCAGCAGACTCATGTTAAAGCAATACACAACCTGCTGCATCTGTGATGTGCAGTTGGTATCTATATTGTTAGACTTGTAGTTTTAAATTCGTGATAAGGCTGTGCACTTGGGCCGTAATGCCAATGAGTCTTGTGGCCACAATAATAGAAACGTTGATCATATATACAGTGGTGCTTATTCAAGTTGCAGAGAGTCAAATGCAGTCAAAAAATGAGGGCACGCAAATTTCTCTGGCAGTTAGCAGAATCATCTTTAATGCACAATTTCATGTTTGGCAAATTTGCATCTGGTGAGAGTGCGTAAACATTTGAGCATAATACCTTAACGGCCTTCAAATGGATGGGTAGATGAATGAATAGATGGATGGATAGATGGATGAATAGATAGATAGACAATTTAGCTAGATAGATGAATAAATGTATGTATAGATAGGCAATCATCTAGCTCTATAGCTAGGTAGATGAATAGATGGATGAATGGATGAATTGATTGACAGATGGATGAACAGATGGATTGGTGGATGAAGGATGGATGAATAGATGGATCGATAGATTGATGAATAGATGAATGGATGTATGAATAGATGGACGAATAGATGGAGGGATAGTTGGATGAATGGATGGATGGATTGATGGATGGATAGATAGATAGAAAGAGACAATTTAACTAGATAGCTGGATAAATGTATGTATAGATAGGCAATCATCTAGCTCTATAGCTTGGTAGATGAATAGATGGATGGATAGATTGACAGATGGATGAATAGATGGATTGATGGATGAATAGATGAATGGATGGACGAATAGATGGAGGGATAGTTGGATGAATAGATGGATGAATAGATGGATGAATAGATGGATTAATGGATGAATAGATGGATGGATAGATAGATAGAAAGAGACAATTTAACTAGATAGATGGATAAATGTATGTATAGATAGGCAATGTAGCTAGCTCTATGGCTAGGTAGATAGATGGATGGATGAATGGATGGATAGATGGATGGACAGATGAATAGATGGATGAATGGATGAATCTGGTGGGAGCGTAATCTGTGTAAATTTCAGCGTAATATCATAACGGCCTTCAAAGTGCCAGATTTTGCGGTGAAATAAGCAGAGTTATCGTCAGTAAGATCCACTCTATCAGCAATAACAGTAAAAATCGATAAAATTGAGATAATGGTAATAATTTCACACACAGTGACCCATGTGTTAAAGCTGATATACTTCTGTTTACTACACAAACAAATGTGCAACTGTTTGTTTCATTGAAGGACTCTTGTTTTGTCCTGCTGATACAGTAAATAGCCTCCTCATTAAAATACATAACGGCTTATCAGTAGAGTAGAAGAGCATATACTGCAGTGTTATCACACTGGCAGCCAGTGTTTTATGACAGTGATTACACTACAGTCACTTCACTCGACCCTATAAACAGCCTGCACAGTCACTTCACTCTACCATCTGAAAGCTACAGTATTTTCTTCATTTCACATTTTCTTTTCAACTGTTGTAATTTTACCACTATGAATATATTTAAGCTCTGATCGATGGTGGTGGTGGTGGGGGGGGGTGGCAGTGCATGTCCTGCTTAACCATAAACTGCACCTACAGGGACAAACACTGGCTCATGAGCTGATAAAAACATTTGTTTTGTCAGCTGTGAGAACATCTGCACGAATTTGGATGTTCTTTATGTAAATTGTATGTAAATGAGGGCACTTTGGGGCTGCCCCTTGAATATGGTATGTAAATAAAGTAATTGTGGCCGCTTGTTTTCACGCATAGTAGCCGAATCACTGCACCCCAATCTCCACTCGTTTCATTGTTGCACAGCAGTTTGCTGAAGGTAGGTAGATAGATGGACGCTTGGGTGGATGGAGGCATGGATGGATGGATGGATGAATACATAGGTAGACAATGTAGCTAGCTGGATAGCTAGGTAGGTAGGGAGGTAGATGGACGGATAGATAGATGGATGGCTAGATAGATGAATGAATGGATAGATGGATTAATGAATAGATAGATAGACAATGGAGCTAGCTGGATAGCTAGGTAGGTAGATGGATGGATGCATAGATAAATAGATGGATTGATGTATAGATGGATGGATGAATGAATAGATAGACAATGTAGCTAGCTGGATAGCTAGGTAGGTAGGTGGATGGGTGCATAGACAGATAGATGATTAATGCATAGATGGATGGATAGAGGGATAGATAGATAGAGGGATAGATAGATAGATGAATGAATGGATGGATGGACGAATAGATAGATGGATGAATAGACAGTTTAGCTCGATAGATGGGTGGATGGATGCATAGATGGATGGATGAATAGATAGATGGATACACAGTTTAGCTAGATAGATGGGTGGATAGATGGATGAATGCATAGATAGATCGATAGACAGTTTATCTAGATAGATGGCTTAATGTTTGTATAGATGGATAGATAGACAATTTAGCTAGCTGGATAGATACAATTATTATAAAGAATAATTGAATAAAATAAAGTTATTACTATTATCATTATTTTGAGTCAGATGCGAATGGTGAAATATAACTGATGAATAAGGCACATTGTATTAATGATTAATAATCATGCTTCAGTGCCACAGCTGGTCAGGAGTTATATAAGTATTATTAAAAGTTATTTTAATTATTAATTAAAATGATTTATTATTAATAAGAACATTTCCATTGTGGTGATCGTGGTGATCGTGGTGACGCTGTTTACTGCAGGGTGAGCCTCTCAGTGTAACGCCAGCTTAATCAGCACCTTATTGTATTTAAAAGCCTGTTTCAGAGGGTGATATTAGCAGAACTCAGCTAATGGAATGGCGTCTGTGATGCCAAGAGGACAGTTTCACCACATTCACCATTATGTCAGCTGTCACTGTGGCTGCAGCTAACAAATTATGACAGAATCTGATTTGGCGCAGTTAATTCTGTGTCCAATGCAGGCAAGTGCTCTCTCAGCGTTTTTAGCAGCCAAAATGTGAAATGTTGTGGCTCCAGTCAATATCCATAGTCAGGGGTCGCAAAACAAAAGTTAAGAAGAGCCATTTTGTCCTTTCAACAAAAATCAGTCCGCCTTGAGAGCCACAACACTTTATGACCATTTATAGCCGCTTTTCTCGCATCTCCGACAGGAAACTTTTCCTCAAAAGTTCTTATTTGCCAGCTGCTCGTTCGAATTTTCCTGTTACACCTTAAATGTGGCCTGAGGTGCCAGAACTGCTGTATTATTTAAGGCGGAATGGGAAAATTCAAACAAGACGCTGGCGAATGAGAAGTGACTTCAGCCTTGTGACTTTTTAGTGTTTGTCAGTTTCTCGTTGCAGATTTAACATATCAGGAAACCAGCTGGAGTGATTATAAACGCAAATAAGTCCATTAAATCTCTCTCTTTGCCGTTTCGTTAGCTACTAACGAGGCGAGACTGTTGTCTGCGTTGCTATGGTGACCAGCAGTCTGCGCTGATCTTCAGGGTTAAAGGGTGAATTAGCAGTTCTACATTAACTCCAGAGTTAAAGACCATTTATTGTTAAACTGTGTTGAACGATCAGCAGAGCTTTATTTTACTGTAAAGGAGGATTATTTTATTATTACCTACAAACCTGATTCTGCTGTGGAGCCACAACAGGACAGTAAAAGAAACGGATGTTGCCGACCGCTGGGCATGGTCTATCCCTGCATGTTGTATAGACAATGCATTTCAAGTGTTTATTTACATAACTGAATAGTTTTGGGTGAGTTTTCTGTTATTTCTATTAATAGAAGTCAACTTTGTTTTAGTCGTCCGTACGCGACAGGTGAAGCAGGTAGAGATTAGGCTGAAAAATGCCGAGGTAATCCTTTAAGGAAAACTCCTGTCACGTTCTCACACTGCGTTCTTGTTTTCTTCCTTATGGGTGATTTAGTCATGCACTGCATCAGCAGATGAAGCTGTTACCGTTAAACCTCAATGTGCATTTCTTTCCCTTTAGGAAATACGCAACCAGTCTCAGGAATGCCCTTTCAAGGTGGCAAAATATCCAGAGAACCGCAACCGCAACAGATACAGAGATGTCAGTCCGTGTGAGTAACCGCCTTTTGTTTTTACTGGAATGGTGACCTTTGGTGTTCATGCATCTCTCTCTGTGTCTCGCATGCACTGTTGACTCATAAGCTGCATTTGTGTACGTGTCACAATGATGTTATTGTCTTCTGTGCTTTGGCATGTCTTGTGTTGTTTTCCCTGTGTTGGCCGTGCTCCGTGCTGTAGTATTTTTGTTGGTTTTGTTTTGTTTTATCCTTGTGATAAACTTTAAACTCGAGTCTGCGTCCTGCTTCAACGCTCCTCCTGTGTGACAGAAGATCAGAGCGCTCAAAATGGATGTAGTGAGTTTGTTTGCCCTTCAGGAGCAGCTCTTCTCAGAGAGCGATGCTAAACTGAAGGAATGCTGCTGATTGCTGAATGAGCAATGGGTGCGTGTGGGGGCTGTGGGGTCAATGCTCCAGTGCTTGTTGCCAGGTGGACCCCATCTCCCAACCTGCGACAACACGGCACCACCCCAACCACTGAAGGCACGGCCGCTTCAGTTCCCGTGCCTCTACCTGAGGATGTAACTGCGCCCCAGGGACATTGCTGCTGCACATGTGGCCCCTTCAGTGCCAGCTTCCTAAATTGCTTCAATGCTGGCCTTCCAGTTCCCTCCTCTTTTGCCGGCCCCCGGGTTCCCTCCTTCTTTGCCAGCCACCTGGTTCCCTCCTCCTTTGCTGGCTCCCTAGTTCCTTCTTTGGGCACTGGCTACCCTGTTCCCACCAGTCCTCAGGTTCCCTCCTGGGTCGTCAGTCCTCAGGTTCCCTCCTGGGTCGTCAGTCCTCAGGTTCCCTCCTGGGTCGTCAATCCTCAGGTTCCCTCCTCGGGCGCCGGCCTCCCGGTTCCCTCCTTTGGCCTCTTCAGTGCCAGCTTACCAAATTCAGTGCTTCTCCTTTGCACGCCTCCCGGTTCCGTCCTTGGGCGCCGGCCTCCCGGTTCCTTTTTCTACACTGCAGTCTTATCCCTTCACTGGTGTTTCTAATCTGCGTTCCAGCTGCATTACAAAAACTAGGCTGCATATTCCAAGACTGTTCCGATTAGAAGGAATCTCTGAAAACAGCTGAGAAATGCAGTTTTCAAGGACGTCACCAGAGGATCCTTCACAGTCTTCCATCACCTGTAATCCTTTGTGCACGCAGGCACGCTAAGTATTTTAGTGGTGCACCTGTTTAAGAAGGTGTACACCGAACACAGGGTGTAAAATGAGCCTGCTTTCAGTGAGTTTAACTGTTTTTAATTTGCAGGACATCATAAAATTATAAACATTGTTTTTCGAGCCACATATTGTCATGTCATTCGCGTCAACTTTTTGATCGCCGTTGAAATTTATCAACTAAAACAAATGAAAACGTAAAAGAACCAACGTGGAAAATAAGCAATAAGAACACTAAAATAGTGTTTCATTTTAGAAAAATGAAATTATTTACTAGAATAGAAGAGTAAAACAATTAGCATCAAATAAAACAGTGAGAAAATAATAATAAAATTAAATAAAAAGAGAAAGGAAAAGTTAAACTCAACTAAAACAGTTACGGTCTGTCTGAAGGTGGTTAGAGACTAAAAGTTTAAAATGACTGAGTGACTCCAGTGAGCGAGTTTTAGAGACTCCTGTAGTGAATTCCAGCTCAGTGGTGCTAAAAGCAGATTTTCCCAGTTCAGTAAAAACTCTCGGTACCTGACGGGTGATCCAGTCACTAAAGCGAGTCTGATTATTTATAGAGATCATAGACGAGATGTAAGCTGGCACACGGACGGATAGCGAAGTAGGCCAGTATGATTCCTGTGCCCTCATGTTTTTCTTCCTCCTTTATCTGGTCTTGTGCAGTTTTTTTCCCTGTGTTTGCTTCATGTTTTCTTTGTTCATTGTTGTATGTTTTGCGTAGTGTTTTGATCTTTTAATAAACTTGAAACTTGGCTGGATTCTTCCTCTTGCATGACATGAACAGATGTCTTTTGTGCTGTGTGTAAATGTGTGTGATTGTCTGTCTGTCTGTCTGTCTGTCTGTCTGTCTGTCTGTCTGTCTGTCTGTCTGTCTAAACCGGCCTGTTTGTGTTTGTTGGAATGTTTCAGTCGATCACAGTCGGGTGAAGCTGGGAAACACAGAGAACGACTACATCAACGCGAGCCTGGTGCAGATGGACGAAGCCCAAAGAAGTTACATCCTAACTCAGGTCAGTTCTGTCTGACACGGTTCCGTTAAGAAATACATGTATGTGAAAAATAAAAAAATTCATCTCATGTCACACAGTTTGTATACATGTTCGCTCATTTTCCTGTTGAAAGGAAATATAATATAGACATTTTATTTACTGTCCAGAACCACCAGTGAACCGACACGAGTCTTCTGAGTTTATATGGAATGTTGATGATGGAAAATAGTGGAAAATCTGAAATAATAAGTTTTCTTTGGGGACTATTTTGCCTCAGCATGTATCCCTCCACCATGAGTTTAAGGCCAAAATCTTCTCTAAACTATCATAAAACAGTGTCTCAGTCATCAGGCAGTGAATTCATAACCATTTCATGTAGTAACTTTCTGTGAGGGAGCTTTTAGAGGTGGACGTCTGGTTCCTATCACCACCACTGTGAACAATTCTGGCTCAATATGTTTCTCTAGAACGGAGCGTTTCACACCAAACCACTCTGAATCACTTCGTTTACACCTTAACCCTTAAATTATGTTGAAATTAAAAAAAAAGGTGGAATTTCCCTTTAGTAAGAGTGATGAAATATTGATAGAGTACTCAGTGAACTGGTTTAATAGTGGGTAATTTGTTATTCTTATGACTGTAATCAGTTTACATTTTCCAGTCCCTCAAAAGCAGCTGTGTTTTCTCCAAATGTGTGGCTCAGACACTCAGACCTCCTGCTTTTCCAGCTGTGGTTTGTTTTATTGAAGCGTACGATGAAAAATCCTATCACTGTAGTTTTATTGCCATGTTTTAAGTATTGTCAGTGTAACGTAGGAGGCGATGAGGCTGGATGCAAGTGTGAGTTGCTTTTTTTTCCAGTCCAGAGTTTAGAAGCAGAGTAACGGAGGTTTGTAGACCAGGCAAGTCCACGATGCAGCAAAGCAGAGGAGAAAACCGAATTTAACTAGAAACAAAACTTAACAACAAGACCAGTAAAAACAGGCAACAGCAACAGAGTAACAGACAATGCAAGACGAAGGGTCTGAGCAAACATGGGGGTGTAATTACACTGAGGGGGAAACAAGAAACACCTGGGACTAATCAGAGGGCGGGGATTAGGGCTGGGTGATTAATTGAAAAGTAACCGACATTCAGAACCTGTAACTGACGTAATCTTGCCCATGTCGGTTGTTTAGATTTTTAAAAAATTTGGTTAATCCTTTCTCCACTCTGTGTGGTCATGTACTGTCCCCTTAAAAACTTTTTAAAAGATTATCTTTTAAATGTGATCTGTATGCGACATCAGTCTGAACAGATCAGCTCCTAAACTGACCCACATGCGCTAAAGATCAGAGCGTCACGCTGCTTCACGGCTCATCCAGAGGTAAACAATCACGACCGCCAACGAACGCCAGTCGCTCCCGGAGGATCAGCTTCATCTTCACCAGCATCACAGGAGCCATCATGAAGCTTCACTGACTGACAGCTGGGCTCATCACCCAGAATGTGTTCGAGCCGTAAAAAGGGCGCGGTCACTTCTTTGGTTCGCGTCCTCGGATTCTTTAAACTTTGCTTTCAGACTTTTAACTGTTCTTTGAAGCTGCAGCCTCGTTCTCCTGCGGCCGCATTCGGACATTTCTTTAGAAATCTCTTCAAACACGGAGGGTTTAGATGAGTCTCTTCTAATTTTTGTACAGAAATATCACCCCAAATGTTTGAGTCTCAGCAGCGCGAAATTATGACGAAAGTCGAGCTGGATTGACGTAAAAGCCACGTGAATTCCTACAGACAGGTGGAGCAGATGACAAGGGCCCGAGACCAGGGAGTAGACAGATCAAAACAACAGCTAAGACACATGGCAGATGTAAACACAAAACACATGGCACTGGGAAACAAGAAAACCAAGGCTAAAACAGAGAAAGACAAGGACGGAACAAGACAGGATGTTAGTCACTTTATCTGCTAACATTGAACTGAAAAAAGATGTTTGTGGATGTTTGTTTACATACTACAGATAACTGGCAAATACTCTTAAACATTTGAGGTGCCAGTATTCAAATTCTGCAGTGACTTTGTTGTGTTTCATCAGAGGAAGACAGAGAAAATATACAGAACAATAATTCAGTAAAATGTATTTTTGAGAAAGTATGTGTTGTAGTCTGATATGCTGAGCGCCTGAACGTCAGCGTGTTTGTGGCAGAGATAGAGCAGCTTTTATTGCTAAAAAGGCTGATAGTCAGCTCTGAAAGTTTACATATGTTCCTCTAACAGACTAACATGTTGGCACATCGTCCACTGAAGAGGTAAAACACCTGTAGAAGACGACGAGTCTCCATCAGCGTCCAGTGTTAGCTGTAGTTTTAGCTCTTCAGCTCATCTGAGGCTCTGTTGTGTTACTCATCTAACACAATAACCTACCACCAGCTTCCCTCGGCTATTTTTGAATAATAAACAGGTTTTGAAATGTCTTCGTGATGCTAAACAACACCAGTGCTGTCACCTAAACAATAAGCCACAGTAGATTTAACAGTTTTTGTAATGTCACAAAAAACAATGTATTTATGAGTATCTGCCTATTGAGCCTACAGCGGTTTAGCTCCGCCAACTCACACTGGACATATAAGGAGTGTTTCACCTCGTACTAATTTCCGAATGAGGCTCAGCCAATCAGAACAGAGGTCATTTACATATTTCCATTTTAAAGGGATAGAAACAACAATAAATTAACATGATTTATGTTTTCATTGTCCTGAACACACTTTGTAAGCATCATCAGTGTTCTTTGGGGTCAGTCTGAGCCCAGGCTTGCACACATTAGTTCTGGTTGTTTTGGGTGATATCGAGCTCACTATAACATGAGTTTTATAATCAAAATATTTTCCCTCTGATTTAGGGCCCTAACCTAACGTAACCGCACCCGTAACACACCTAACCTAACGTAACTGCACCTTTAACATACCTAAACTAACGTAACTGCACCTGTAACACACCTAACTGCACCTGTAACATACCTAACCTAACCTCACTACACCTTTAACATACCTAACCTAACATAACCACATCTGTAACACACCTTACCTTACATAAGCGCACCTGTAACACACCTAACCTAACATGACAGCACCTTTAACATACCTACCCTAACATAAATACACCTGTTACACACCCAACATAACCGCACCTGTAACACACCTAACCTTACATAAGCACACCTGTTACGCACCTCACGTAATCACACCTGTAACACACCTTACCTTACATAAGCACACCTGCTACACACATAACCTAACATAGCCACACCTATAACACATCTAACCTAACATATTCACACCTGTAACATACTTAACCTAACACAACCACACCTGTAACACACCTAACCTAACATGACAGCACCTTTAACATACCTACCCTAACATAAATACACCTGTTACACACCCAACATAACTGCATCTGTAACACACCTAACCTTACATAAGCACACCTGTAATATTGTGAGAATCACTGATAGTTGACACCACACAGGGGGAAACAGAATTCCCACCATAACTATTTCCTGGAGGTTTAATTTGCTGGAGTCAAATCGACCCCGAAGATAAAAGATGTCAGTAAATTTGAGGATAACGTGAAGGTTAATGGGTTTA